GACTGTCGGGATTATGGCCATGCAGTCCCAGGATCTATATGCGGTGTACATAAGTTAACCTACTAAAAACCACACACCAGGCTGTTATGCTATGGTTCCGGATACCTCCTTGGTAAAGCCATGGCCGCTTTATGCTCACGTTAAAATCCCCCACGGCTAACCTGTCATGGGAGGTAGAAAAACATCACTTTTATAAACAGAATCCCAGGGCCCACTAACCAGTAATAGAGACCAGGGCAGAACTGCTGTATCTGCATTCAAAGGCCCAGCCCAGCAGTTCTGGAAACTCTCAGAACACTGTGGTTTATTCTAAAGCACCCACTGAGGCATTTTCCCGGCAGTTCAGTCCTGCTCTTTTCTAATGTTCTGTGTGATGACATGGGAAGTGTGGATAAAGCACTTTTGTTGAACAATGAGTTTTATGATGGTTATCTTGAGAAAATCACTAGGGATCTAGTTTGAATTGCAACTGAATTATCTGCTTCTTACAATGGAATTCTTTTTTTTTTTGCTTGAAAGAGTGACTACCAGCCAGACCATGGTTATTCAGATATGTGCGTTTGGAAGATATTTAATAACTTGTTACTTCAAGAAAGCAACTGATAGTATTTGCTGCCAATGAAAATTTCATGTTTTCAAGCAAAGGAGGATGCCTTACATATATGGGGTTTACTTTAGTACTTTTTTCTGCTTAATGTTTCTGTAAATTATCCGAGCGATGGCCAGAAAATTGCCTCTATTAAGCAACTCTTCCCACACAGCGTTCTGTTATTTGACACAACTAACTTGTACAATTCTTGTTGTGGTAAAGAAGCTCTTTCCTGCAAAATAGGATTTTGGTGGCCAAGGATTATGCTTTTAAAATGTGATTTAGCAATTTTATTATCTTGCCAGTAAGGGGCAGCAAATAACAATGTTTGTTTGAAATACTATCCTATTACCTTAATTTGGAATCTGTCCTATTCTTCCTTTGTTTAATGAATAAATCTCTGACCCCTTTCTCACTCTTCCTAGTGATGATACAGTCAGAGAGACTGAGGATGAGAGGGACATTCTAAAGGTAAAAGAATAAAATTATAACATTAAACTATAATACCAAGAAAAGGATAAAATCTGCCAGTCCTTTATGCTGACAGATGTTGACTTTCTTTTCTAAGTTGGGTCCTAGTAACTGCCACAAACCGGGTAGCCACAAAACGTATTCAGTCCACTAATGAGAAAGAGAAGGTAAAAGTAATATCTTGTCTTAATTCAATATTTCTGTCAAAAGATTAGTTTCTCATCTGTGCTTTAGCCATTTATTTTTTAAAAACACTTTCATCATGACATTCTAATGACTATTTATCAAGCATGTACCATAAGCCAGGGCCCTTGTAGGTATTTGAGACAAATATTAAACAAAATAGACATAACACCTGCTCTTGTGGTACTTTGCTTTAGTGGAGGGAAGTTATCCTAACTAAGGGGGAAGCTAGACAGAACAGAAGAAATTATGAACACCAGACGTAAGCAGAGAGTCAGATGCTAGTGAAAATGGGCAAAGGCCATCCTTTTGAGTCTTTCACTCATTTTTACCATCACAAATGCTGATGTGAAAAATGTAGTGTTTTTCTTTCTTCTGGATAAAATCTCTATCTCAAGACTCCTTTCTGTCTGAAGGATAAAACTTATTTTCAAGTAAATTTCATTGCTCCATGGATTTCTGAGTGTTTCAGACTTCACTCCGATTCACAGTCTGTTCTTCGTCACACTCTTTCACCTGAGGTTTGGGAGACAATTTCTGTTGTTTGGTCTGTCTCAATGCTGTGTTGTAATCTTTGAAATGTAACTCATTGCTTATGTCGCTCGTGGGTTCTCTTTCCACGCTGACTTCAATATCGAGGTGTGATTACAGCAAAGATGTGATCTGCTGTTGTGACCTCTGGCACTTCAGAGGACGCCTGCAGGGCAGCTAATGGGCATGCACACGTGCACTCTCTCTCTTTCTCTCTGTCTGTCTCTCTGAGTTTTACATTCTATCTGGAATCTTTCAGAACTCCCAAGCCAAACCAGGCCATACGATGCTCCCTGGGGCTGCATCAGATATTTTACTGCCCCCATATCCTGTGCAGCTATATTTAGGAAATTATATCTGCACTTGCGTAGAAAAGAACATTCTGTGGGAATATTCTGCGGAATAGAACGTTTCAGTTGCTCTGGGTCCCATAAGTAAAGTAGGCTCAGAAACCATTCACTTTTACAGTCCTGAATACGTTTCGGGGGTGTCTAGTATCCATATCTATACTTTGAAACGTAATAGCTGGAGGAATTAAACGAGACCTACAGTCTCTTACATTTCTTAAATGTTAAACTTGCACCAGGGCTTTTGAACTTGAAGGCTGACATTTGCACTTATTCCAGAAGAGTTTCCTTGAATGAGGGGCAGTCAACTAGTGAAAAGGATATTAAAGAAAAAAAATGATTCAATACCAATCAAGTGATGCTTCACAATTTGACCCATGTGCTCAACTACACTGTTATTTAAGACTCAAAATCAAACCAACTCCTACCTTCTATCAAGCGTGCTTCTCTTTTCTTTTTACTGCTAACCTCGAAAGAGAAATAAATAGAGCCGGGCGTGGTGGCTCACGCCTGTAATCCCAGCACTTTGGGAGGCCGAGGCAGGTGGATCACGAAGTCAAGAGATCGAGGCCATCCCAGTCAACATGGTGAAACCCCGTCTCTACTAAAAATAAAAAAACTAGCTGGGCATGGTGGCACGTGCCTGTAATCCCAGCTACTCGGGAGGCTGAGGCAGGAGAATTGCTTGAGCCCAGGAGGTGGAGGTTGCGGTGAGCCAATATCGCGCCATTGCACTCCAGCCTGGGGAACACGAGCGAAACTCCGTCAAAAAAAAAAAAAAAAAAGACAGAAATAAATACCTATTTCCAATCATCCAACATGACAAATATCCCAGTCATGTGGCATATATAAAACAGAAATAGAAATACTTTGCAATTTCATGAACAACCTTATTTCAAGTTCACTAGTTTTTGTTTTTTTCCAGAATTCCAATATTGTCTGTGAGTTTTAGATCCACCTGCAGAGGGCAGCAAATAGTAGTACAAATCCCTGTTCTTAAATGGTTGGACCTCAGGTTTGATTATGCAATGACCATGAATGCTTAAAATCGATACTGAAAGGATTTTTTGAGTAAGAAAGATACCTTTTGTGGCTACTTAAAAAAATAAAAGTAAATGCTAGGCCGACTGTAAAAGAAGTAGTCAAATTTATTTTTGGTAATTCTTTGTTCCTCTGGCACTTCTAGAGCTGTTTTCCAGACAACTAGGACCCGCTTACTTAAATAAGTTTAAGGCAGAAACCATGGGTGATAAGTAAAGCGCTGACCTTGTTTTTTTTTTTTTTTTTTTTTTTTGCCTTAGTGGCATTTGTTGAGCACAGAAACTCTCAAGCATTAATGTTAAGGTTTCATGGATGGAAGACGAAGCCTATGTTACACTCGAGTTCGAGATTATATCAGGAGATTCCCTCTAAGCAAAACTGGAACCCCAAAGCATTATACTCCAGTTTTAAAGAATGAATGAGAAATAATCCCTGGCATTAATCTGAAACTGAACAAAAAATTTCCTATGTTAAAACTTGGTTATTCAACCTTGATTCTCATGGGAGGTGGAAAGAATTTCTCCTGAAGATTCATAACCACAATTTTGCTTCCATTCAAGTTTGTGTACAGAACACACGACCTGGTGTTAGGAATCACACACACTCAAGCAAAAGATCTGCAGCCAGTGATTTAGTTTAAATAGATACAGCACTGATAACGTCCACAAATACCTGACAGAAGCAAATGCTAATCCTCCCATGAAGAAGTCCATTTTCATCTCAGGCCTCAAAGAATTCCCACAGATAAAGTTCAAATGAAAATGACAAAGCTCAAAGTAAAGATTAAAAAAATCAATAAACATATAGAGAAACAAGACTCTGTGAATAAGAGCAAGCATAAACAATATTAAGACTCAAAAGTCTTGATATGTAGGAATTCTAAAACTGAAAAAATAAAAATAAGCCTGTTTAAAACGTTTCAAAAATAAAAAAAATATATAAAATGGTGAGTGAAGAGTTAATAGCTATGTCAAACTCAACAGTTTAAAAAATATAATAAAAATATAATATGAAAAATATAATAAAAATATAACATAAAAAAATAATAAAAATGTAAAACTCAACAGATGATTTTACATGAAATTGTAATTGAAACCCAGAGTTATGAAGAAATAGAAAATACAAAAAAGACATGAAGGACAGAATAAGGTGGTCTAATATTGGTCCAGTTGGGATGATGGAAGAAAGGAGAGATAGAGAATGAGGTAGAAGCTGTATTTGAAGATATTAACTGAGAACATTTTAGAACTTGTGGAAGAAAACAGGCATTAGATACAGGAACCCCAGTTAATGAGGGTAACGTAAAAGAAGTCAAAATTTGAGGTTCACCAAATTGCAAATCATTACACAAGTAAAAAGAAAAAAAAATAGAAAAAAGAGGAAAATATTCTTAAAATCCTGATGGAATTTTTTCTGAGTAAGAAATTTATCCAAATCCCATTTCCTGCCATGTCCTTGAGAAATAATTTGTCTTATTCTTTCCCCCACATACTTGGACAAGAGCTAGAGAAACCTGTACTGTAAATCCTTTTCCTGAATAAAGGAAAATGAGAGCTTTTTTGGGGGAATGGGTTAACTAGGAAGCTTCTATCTTAGTTGACACCTGTTAGATCTCTCTGGAGCAGTGTCAAGACGTGATACGGACACCTCTATCTCTGAACAGGTAAACGCATTACATTCGTGCTGGTATCACAATATTAAATTCAGCTTTAGCTAAGCTGACAAAGTAAAAGATGCAAAGATGCAATTTGCTCTGATTCCGCAAAGAAATCCACGGTGCGGCATAACGGTTACCGGCAAGCTGAGTAACAGGCAATCATCAGCCGGGTTATTCTACAGTCGATTCACTTCTGCATGAACCCAGTCGCTGATGCGAAGTGCAGAGCTCAGCGCTGTTAGAGAATCCGCGAGGCCTCTGTGACTGCGCATGCTCCGAGCTCCAGTCCTACGACCTCCTTGGAGGGAAGACGACCCCCAACGCTAGCGCAAGGGGACGGAGGTGGTTGTGGGTTTTGTGCCTGCAGAGGTACAATCAATAGTCTTTTGGCTCCAGAGTCCATTTAACATCTCAGCAATTAAGTCACAGGAACCCTCCGAAGCACCACCCTCTAAATCGCAGCTGTATGTACTAAGGTGATAGTGGAATTAAAGGGAGGGGGGCAGAGAGGGGAAGGGGGGGCACAAAGAAACTAATCAAAGGGAGGAGGGGGCAGAGGGGGGAAAGGGGGACACAAAGAAACTAATCAAAGGGAGGCGGGGCAGAGGGGGGAAAGGGGGACACAAAGAAACTAATCAAAGGGAGGAGGGGCAGAGGGGGGAAAGGGGGACACAAAGAAACTAATCAAAGGGAGGAGGGGGCAGAGGGGGGAAAGGGGGACACAAAGAAACTAATCAAAGGGAGGAGGGGGCAGAGGGGAGAAAAGGGGGACACAAAGAAACTAATCAAAGGGAGGAGGGGCAGAGGGGGGAAAGGGGGACACAAAGAAACTAATCAAAGGGAGGAGCGGGCAGAGGGGGGAAAGGGGGACACAAAGAAACTAATCAAAGGGAGGAGGGGCAGAGGGGGGAAGGGGGGGCACAAAGAAACTAATCAAAGGGAGGAGGGGGCAGAGGGGGGAAAGGGGGACACAAAGAAACTAATCAAAGGGAGGAGGGGCAGAGGGGGGAAGGGGGGACACAAAGAAACTAATCAAAGGGAGGAGGGGAAGAGGGGGGAAGGGGGGACACAAAGAAACTAATCAAAGGGAGGGGGGCAGAGGGGGGAAGGGGGGACACAAAGAAACTAATCAAAGGGAGTAGGGGGCAGAGGGGGGAAAGAGGGACACAAAGAAACTAATCAAAGGGAGGAGGGGGCAGAGGGGAGAAAAGGGGGACACAAAGAAACTAATCAAAGGGAGGAGGGGGGCAGAGGGGGGAAAAGGGGGACACAAAGAAACTAATCAAAGGGAGGAGGGGCAGAGCGGGGGGGGAAAAGGGGACACAAAGAAACTAATCAAAGGGAGGAGGGGCAGAGGGGAGAAAAGGGGGACACAAAGAAACTAATCAAAGGGAGGAGGGGCAGAGGGGAGAAAAGGGGGACACAAAGAAACTAATCAAAGGGAGGAGGGGGCAGAGGGGGGAAAAGGGGGACACAAAGAAACTAATTAAAGGGAGGAGGGGCAGAGGGGAGAAAAGGGGGACACAAAGAAACTAATCAAAGGGAGGAGGGGGCAGAGGGGGGAAAAGGGGGACACAAAGAAACTAATCAAAGGGAGGAGGGGGCAGAGGGGGAAAAGGGGGACACAAAGAAACTAATCAAAGGGAGGAGGGGCAGAGCGGGGGGGGGAAAAGGGGACACAAAGAAACTAATCAAAGGGAGGAGGGGGCAGAGGGGGAAAAGGGGGACACAAAGAAACTAATCAAAGGGAGGAGGGGCAGAGGGGAGAAAAGGGGGACACAAAGAAACTAATTAAAGGGAGGAGGGGCAGAGGGGAGAAAAGGGGGACACAAAGAAACTAATTAAAGGGAGGAGGGGCAGAGGGGAGAAAAGGGGGACACAAAGAAACTAATTAAAGGGAGGAGGGGCAGAGGGGAGAAAAGGGGGACACAAAGAAACTAATCAAAGCAGAAAGAACTCACTTTTCTCGAGGAGACACAATTGCCTGTTCACAGATAATTGGGAATAGGTGCAAAGATTTGCTTTACATTTTTTTTAACATAGTTCCCCTAATAATGAATGAAGGTATACCTTTCTCTATGGAATGTGTGCAAACATACTTATTCAAAGAGCATTCATTATAACCTTTTCTTCTCATCCTCTTAAATGCCAACAATTTGTTTCACTTTGTCAAGATTTATTTGAAAGGGAAAAGTAGAAGGAAACTGTTTCTCAATATTTCATACATAATTCTGTGTGATCACATTCAAAACTGTTCTTGCAAGATTTGAACTCAAAATGTTATTTAATAACAATACTTCAGTAACTATGTTTACTGATTTTTAAAAAATTTGAAACAATAAAAGTAATTGTCTAGAATATTATTTAGTAACAAGATTGCAGTAACTACATTTACTTTTTTTTTTTTTAGTTTGGAAAAATAAAAGGAATTGTCTTTGTTCTACACTGAGTTTTAAAAATGAGAACGCTAACTCTTTTATTTTTACTGAAGTGAGGTGAAGGGCCAGAAGTGGAGTTATGGAAGGTTTCATGGTCAAATGAAAAAGATTCTTTAAAGTTCAGGCTGTCACAAACACTTTGAACAAACACTTGGATACTTAAAATTCACGTCTACTGCACATGATTATTCTTCCTTTGTAGTTTTATTAATAGGATGCTTTAGCATGTTTTGAAGTCTTAAAGCAAACACTCATTATTTGAAGAACATGGTTTATTTCATATTATATTATGGTTTTGGGCTAAGCAACATTAAATTCCAGCATACATTTATTTTTTTTCACCCTCAATGACAGCAACAAACTGAGCAGATTATACTTCATATACTACTAAAATTCATGTTTGAACATTTTCTATAGTTTGGGCAATTAATATTAAAATTGTTAAACTGTTGTTTCTTGTCTTTTTGAAAATGAAAGATAAAAACTACTGTAAGTTATTTTTCATTAATGGGAAGATTTTGAGAAAGAAAGTGCATTTAAATTTTGTCTCAGGTGTAATAGCATACATGTACGAGTCTAGTTCAGACAACGCTCAACAGAAAATACAAATACAAGAAATCTATTATTCAACCTGAGCCTCTAAATGTTTTGCATATGACATACTGATAAGAATAGGGAAAAGGAGCGTAGATTCCTAATATTTGCATGCATTTATAATTGGAGTTATTTTTGTGTAAGTATGGCAAGTAGAATAGATAGTATTTAAACCTTTAGATCGATCAGATGATAACAGAAAAACCGCAAAGCTTAACGTAAAAAGTCATTGTTGAGTTCAGTTTTATATTTTGAAACACTGAAGTAAATAGAAACACAAGAAATAAATCTATTAACTTGCAGTTTATCTTTTATTCCCTTTTTTAGGGATATGTAATGAGAGCACAAGTTTGTGGACAGCGGGTCAACCGTGACAAACAGGATTCTTGGAGAACGAGGAGAGTTCAGTGCAGTTGCCAGAGTTGACATGCAGTGTGTTTCCCGTGATTGGTGTGGATCTCAGTTGACATGCAGTGTGTTTCCCGTGATTGGTGTGGTTCTCAGGGGCTTGCTTTAAATTTGGGCAGTGTTAAACGGTTGCTATTTCTATGCTGGTGCTTGTACCATAATCATATAAGATGGTGAAATAGGTGTGGGCCTTAAGACCTTAAGGAATTTAAGATCCAATTTTTTAAACTGTAAAATATCTAATATGTTATATCTTTAAGATTTGATCTTTTAAGATGCTTGAGTTAAGTGAAACTGATAAGAAACTGCTATTTCTCTAGTTTTTAAGAATTTATGGAGTGATCTATAATACCTCAGGAAGAGCTGTTCCTTTTGAGCTGAAGAACATATTGCATTTCCTGTTTCATTGCAGAGATATTTCCCTACTTGAAAATGCTATCGTCTTTTCATCCACACAAAAATTGTGAAACAGAGGGGGCCGGGGCCAGCAAGGAAGTTATAAAGAAAAGTAATTTCACATTAGTTGGGCTGGAAACCAGTAGCTTAATTTTAATATGACCAAGTGGATTATTTGTTATTTATATCTGTTTTAAGAGTAATAACTAAATATTGCCTTCAGAAATAGATGATTTAAAGTATATTTATGTATTGCCTAAATGATTAAGTATAATCACCAAACAGCTTTTTGAAATGTATCATTGTACATAGACATTTCCAGAAAATTAGTGTTCTGTGAATTTTCTGTATTTCATTATAAGTAAGGTATTCTCTAACTATTGAAAAATAAGTATGACTTTTCTATTTTTCACACCCTCTCAGTTTCCTTTTTGATAATAACACATTTGTATTTCTTCTATTACATATAGAAGTAAAGATAAATATTTGGGATAAATGTGGAAGGGACAGAAATAATCACGTCTTTTAAGTAACTTGCAGTACTCTTTTTAGTTGGTATAAAAACCAAACACTCATGAAGAAATAGAGGTATTTAAAGCCAATAAGAAATTATTGGAAATAGTATTGAGGGATTCTGGCTTCAAGTATGGTATGGACTCAGTTTCAAGGAGGAAGTGAAGTTGAATCTGTGCTTTGAAGGATAAGTTGCTTAACATCATGGAGGTAGAGGGCATTTCAGGTGGGAGAGGAAAGCAAAAAGCCTAAAGAGCAGTGGAGACAAGAATGAGGAAGGCACATGGTGAGGATGGTGGAGAGAGGGATCAGCTTGGAGAAGACAGCGTTTGCTGGGACTAAGGAGGATAGTGGGAAGGAAGATTTTCCGGAGAATGTACTGTGGTTATGAAGACCCTAAAAACCAAGCAAAAGCATCTCGATGCAGTGTAATAAGCAACAGCAAGACATTGATATTGAGTAGTTTCTTCAGTCTCAATATTTGCATATAAATTGCATATAAATTTTTTCTAATACTTAATAGAAACTAAAATCAAACCTCTATTCTTGTTTTCATCAACTTAAAATTTTCATTTCAAATGAAAGTTTCCCCTTTATTATTTAAAGGATTGAAATAAAACCCTAATCTAGAACATATGGAAAAACATCTCTGAATACATCATAGGAAAAATGACTCCTGGAATAATTGCAGTTATGATTTTAATAGGGTAGAAGGATTGCATTGCATTGTTCCGGAAAGCTAAACAAGACTTACGCATGCCAGTCTTTTAGTAATAAGGATGACGGTACAGAGCAAAGGAAAAAAACTGGTGAGTACTCGCAACGTTGGCATTTGTGGCTGTGGACGGGCATATCGGGAGTTACTGTCTACCGTGGGGAGCCAGGAGCAGGAGTCGGTCGAGAACTTACTAGCTCTTCTCCACACTCAGAAACAGGCCACACACAATGCTGAACACCAGGTTGCATGTCAAGTGCCTTCTGACTCACTCCTTAGTATGGAGAATGGTGATAAATAATGCAAATTTCCATTTTCAAGAACATTTGCCCTATTTCACTCTATCTCCTTAGCCTTTCATCTCTAATCTGAAGAAAGCAGGATAGGTGAAACTTGCTTAGCATACAGTTAATGATTAGCAGAAGAACCAGGATTCAACTTTAGCTTATTCTGATTTCGAATCTGGAAGTTGACTTTGTAACAAGCATCTTATGTAACACGCATCGTATGCACATTGCTTTGGTTTTCTGTGTCTACATAAACCAATAAGGTAATTTAGTGTCCTTGCAGAAGAAGAAACTCTGCGATGAAAATTGGAACTGAAACTAAACACAAGTTTTGATGAAAGATTGCTTTGACAAGATTTATTGTTGTTACTATGGACCTCAAGCACGCCACATTTTGTACAGAGAAGATATTCTGTGTGAATAACTCAGTAATTATTATAATGTTGAAAAATGTTCTCTCAACAATAAGTTCCTCATTTTAAATAAGAGAAAACATATTGATTGAAGTGACCAAGGAGAAGTATCCCAATATCATGAGAAAATATTTACTTTATTGATAACAAAAATATTAGTTGCTTTCAGAAATATTTTTTGGCAAAATAAGGGTCTGAATATAACCATTTCAGTTATTTAGTTATTACAGTCTAGAGTCTAGAGTTTAGTTCACATTTTCTGAAGCAAATTAATATGAACGCATGTTGAATTGAGCAGGATTACTTTTGAAGGACTTTGGGATATGGTAAGGAAAGTTTCTTCTTGCTTCCTTTGTACTGTAAAGCAGTAAACATAATTCTCTGACCTGTAAGTTAAAAATAGTCTGGTATAAAGTCATGAGGAAATGGTTTCTTCCTTGAAGTAGAGGAATGCACTTCAGCAATAAGCTTATGCTAATCTCTACTTTCATGCTATTTGGTGGAACAAATCAATGCGTTGCCTGGTAATTGGCTTCCAATTAATTCTCCATTTAGTTTTGACACAGGACTCTTTGGGTACAAAGGGACAAGCTTAACTTTGAGCCTGCGATTACGGGGATTATGCTGTGCTAAGGGAATTTTAAAATTTGGAACTGACATACTGATATAAGCAAGGGACATACCACTTAGGGCAAGCTGGGGATAGGTGAGGGTGGAATCAAAATCACTGCAAAGAGAAAGGAATCTGGTTTTGGAGATTTACAATGGAAATTGGCCCTACTTAAGGATGCTGGGACTTGAATAAATTGTGCTATAGATTTGACCCTGTGGATTTATTGTAAAACCGAACAAAACCAAAACAAAAAAAAACCCAAAAATCAATTAACCGAGACAATCCATATGCTTAAACCAGTCCTACAATTCAGACCATGTTTCACAAGCAGAAATGAATTCGCAAGCATGATTTTTACATGGGTATGTCTAATGGTAGAGTATGGGACTACATTTAGTTTTTAGTAGTGTGAATTTCTGTCTTTCTTTGGTCTCTTTTCCATGCCTTGCATCGTAAGTTTTAGAGGAGTGGAGGAAAAATTAAATCTTCACTTAATTTTCTGGTGCCAGTATATTTAAAATTCTAGCAGGAGGCAACTCTTCCTTATCTAATATTTAACTACTTTCTATGATATTTATATTTTTTCCTTCTACCTTATGAGTTAAATATATAAATCCTTATATTGCTATGCTTGTTATAGGTGCCAAGTATGTGTGTGTGTATCTATATTTGACACCTGTAACATACCCAAAAAAGAAGTAACTAACCATTTCACCAACAAGCCCTTTCTGTTGGCTTCTTCATTTGGTTAAGGACATTATCTCAGTGACTCATGACTCTCTTCCTCTGCTTGCTTATTAAAGAATTTGTTGTAGCCTGAGGACTGTACTGCTTCGTGCCCTCTTTCATCTGTTTCTTTCTTTTTATTCCCACTGCTGGAATCAAGTTCAGGACTTCGCCACCTCTAGCCTGGATTATTGATTTGCTTTCTAACAGGATGCCATTATCTCAATAATAACTGATGGAACTGAGAAAGATACATTTTTCTTTCTTTCTGTTGTGTTTAGATTTGCTCTAAACTTGTAATATTTTTGCTAAAAAGTATCAGTGATTACCCATCATTAGCGGTGAAGCTGGCTGTAGACTTCTTTTTCTGACGCTCAAGTCAGCCCCGAAGTTGTCCATTTTTTCTTTTAATCTCCTTTTCCTCTATTGCGCTAAACAGCTGCCAAACTCATTGCTATTTCATGAACATGCCTTACCAAAGACTTGCATGGTGCAGTTTGCACCCTGATGTTGCCACCACCTGGAGTGTGCTCTTCCTTTTCTCTTGCCCCAGTTCTGTTTACTTGACATGTGTTCTAGATACATTCTTTATGAAATATTTCTGATTTTTCTAAACAAGATGTGATCAGTTTTTCCTCTGCACCATCATAACTGTGTAAACAACTTCCGTGCCGGATTTTTGTTTGCTCTTTTCTATTACAGCTTTAATTTTTTCTTGTTTCTCCTTTTAGACTGTAAAAATACTGGGGAAAAAGAACTGTATTTTATTATTTCCTGTATCTTCTATCTAGTGTATGTCTCCATGCCTTGTATAAAATGGGAACTCTGTAAACGTTTGTTAGATTGAGAGTAATTTGTCACAGATATATATACATAAAATTGATGTAATGTACTCTGAAGTACACCGCCAGGAAGGAATATTTACAATACACATGAAGGTACAACTTAAAAAAAAAGGTATATTTTGTTTTTCAAACAATCTTGGTTGATGATAGGTCTTCTGAATGGTAGTCTATGGTCTTGCTGGTTCAAACAAAATAAAATCCTCTCAAACTCCTGGTTCTGTTGTTTCCAAATCCTTATATAAATATGGAAGAAAAACTTATGGAATTGCTGTGGCTCACTGAACTAGTAGAATGACTAATTACAAATATATATATATATATATATTTGTACATTTATTAATAAGTGCAATGTGAGCCTTTTTGCCTGTTCATTTCTACCAATTGGAAAAATAGAAATGTTTTAAAGTCAAGGGAAAGTTCTAAAAATTCCCATTATATTCTGCCTAATAAAGGGGAAATAATATTCAAACCAAAGGTATGGAAACACTGCAGTGCAGAGTATCACAGACAATTTAGTTAGTAACTCAGCTTATCAACATGAACAGAAATGAAAAGCATTTTATATTTTTAAAAAGATGTTATGAATATTACAACTGTGGTCAGTGACCTATGATATTTAGTACCTTAAATCTGACTCCTAAGTACACAAGGAGCAAGTATACCAACGTCACCCATGCTCCTTTGCTGAGTTACGGATACTAAGGTAAGGCTTTGATTTTAAATACTGATAATATATGGATAAGATGATATTATTCTAGAAGTTTATACTAAACAAGCATATTAAATATGCACAAATTCAGTATCAGATTATTTTGCTGTACCTAACTCACTTTATGATTACTTTTTACTACCTAACACAAGGACAATTTCAGTCTCTGGCTTTTTTACATTTTCTCCGTCATACTAAGTAAGCGTGGCCTCCTTCCCCCTCCCTTTTGCTCAGGGTAAGATGGAGAAGGGACAAGAATGGAGATAGGAGAAACGTGTGCTTGGTGGTGAATTATATTTTCTTCTACAAAATCGTAGGATTATATTATAAAACAATAGGACTAGATCGAAATTAGGAAGGGAGGTGTGTTGTTCATTGAAATCTCCTCTATAATTATTGTAAGAAATAAACATGGAAAATCACTGTCATTAATATTGTATATATGTATGCATATTACTTTTTTCCAGTTAACTTTTTAGGAACATTGCATAGGCAAAATATTGTCTATAACCTACATAAATTATTTTCTAATTTTGAGTACCCTAGAATAATGGTGATAAATAAGTTTTACATTCACATTGATAATAAAACATAAATTATAGCCTTATCATGTTAGCAGTTTTCGTATATTTTCCTCTAAAAGCTTAAATGTTTTATTATTTAGCATTCATTTAGTTACTGCTCCCCTCAAAACCTCCCCCTTCAATAATAAACATTTTTAAAGCTAACATCGACATCGCACAAGTTTTTGGAATGCTTTCTTAAAGTCTTCATTAAAGATTGTGTAAATTAGTGGATTTATAAGGGAATTGAGATACCCAAGCCATGTCAAAAAATTGGACATTTCTTCAGAAATTTTACATTTTTCACAGATATTAACAACTAATTCTTTTACAAAAAAAGGAAGCCAACATATTACAAATGCTCCCAAGATTAATCCCAGGGTCGTGGCTGCTTTCCGTTCTCTTGTACCTGAGATCTTTTGCCTTCTCCAAGATTTCTCGTGCTTGAATTCAGACCTGAGACTTCTCACTGTGCTATGGATTTTATCGAAGTCTGTTGATGGGTTAGATAAAGACTTTTCTAGCACATAGGGTGTCGAAACTGATTTAGTGCTTTTCTCACCACTCTCCAAAAGGACTTGGCCATTCACCTCCTCCTTTGCAATCCTACTTGCTTGTCTCCTGTGGTACAAAGTCTTTGCTGCTCTATATATTTTGTAGTAAAGGATCAAAATCAATGCCAGTGGGATGTAGAAAGCTCCAAATGTTGAGTAAATGGTGGAAACAATGTGGTCGTGCTTGATGACGCATTCGTCATCTCTGCTAGTTCCTTGGTGCCTCCAGAATAGGGGAGGCATAGAGATAAAAACGGATATAATCCAAACTACTGTAATCATAATGCCAGCATGCCTTGGAGTCCTTTTCCTGGCATACTCAACAGCATCTGTGATTGCTCGATAGCGATCCAAAGCTATAGCCGAGAGATGCAAGATGGAGCATGTGCAGCAGGTAATATCAACACTCAGCCAAATGTCACAGACCACTTGTCCCATAATCCAGCTCTCTCTCACAATATACACGATGCTGAAGGGCATCACCAGGACGGCCACAAGAAAATCCGTGACCGCAAGGGAACAAATTAAATAATTGGCTGGATGGTGCAGCTTCCGGGTCACAATAATTGCAGCAATCACAAGGGAGTTGATAGTTGTCGTCATCAGTGCCAGCCCAGAGAGAGTGAGGGACACCAGAATTTTGGATGGCATTCTGTTTAACAGTTCCTCTGAGGTCAAGTTTTGATCAGATGAATTTAAGAAATCCATTTTCCTTGTTTTAAAAGATTAATATAGCTGAAAAATAGATACCTGTAACAAAGGAAGAGAAAAAACAGTTCAGAGAAGGCTTCAAGAGCTTTTCTCTGCCCTTTAGAATAATTTTGTAAAAGTATATGTTACGTTTTCCCAGAATATTTTGTAGATTAAAAACATGAAGTTCAGATGGAAGGTTTTAGTTTTCCTTTTTATTTAAAAAATTCAATGAGAACAATAAAAAGAAACCAGCATCTTCTAAGACATTTCTTAAAATATAGCTTAAATACAACAATTTTTAATGAATAAACTGGCTTGTTACTCAGTGAAATGTCTGTAATTATAAACTTGGTGTTTAGAACTGTACTAACGCTTGCTATGCTTTTCTCTTTGTCCACATCAGAAAAAGTTTAAAAGTGTGGCAGGCCCAGTCTCACTAATGCAGGCCTCCATAACAACTGTTTCGGTACTGACTGAGTAGTTGAGTGAAATATTCAAAGCTGATAAAGGTGCCCTTATGTAACAAAGAACCCACCAAGAGTTTTGCCTAGGCTTTTCGTGGGCTTGAAGCATAACGAAATGACAACCGAATTCTCAACAGGACTCGTTTAGGATTAACGGGTTTTACTAGGGGTCTGAAAAAGTCCACAAACACGTTTATTGGGGTCCAAAGGAACTCCCCAAACTTTTATGATTCAGTAGGAGACAAGATAAGGGTAATCACCCTAGCACCTTGACCCATTTAGGTTATATAAACTTACTGAGGCTCCAGAAGAGGGTCTTCAGGACTCAGACCTCAGTTATAAATTAAAAGAAGTTAATCTTTTGTCTTCAGATGAATGCACACTTACACATAGACATATAGCTTAGGAGGTATATGAGGTATATAAGCTCTGGAAAAGTTTGTAATTTTGAGTTGGTATGGTGATGGTTTCCAGGCCTCCTCCCTGTAACCAGTTGCAGAAATAAAAACTCTCTTCCTCCCCAGTTCATCTGCATCTTGTTATTGGGTTGTGAAAAATAGCAGCCTAACTCTCGATTTGGTCCGGGAACAAAAGCACATGTCATTCGAGCATTGTATGAAGTAATATAAGAAAATATTATATTAAAAACAGTATTTAAAATAAAGAATAAATTTGTCTTACTTGTCTTTGTGGATATAAGTAGTTAATTTGGTTAAAGAGATAAAATGAAATTAGTTGGAATCAAATAACCATACAGCACTCCCCATTATAACAATGACAGCTATGACCACACGACTCACTTCCCAAGGAACTTGCTAGTAAGGACAGCTCATAATGGCATTCACCCTGAAACGGAAATTATTTTTCTTTATAAGTCACCATTGTAATGAACGGATTATCTTGCTTCTGAAAAAGGATTCTCCATTCATGGCTTATAAGTTTTGTTTTAGTCCATGATATTAATTACAAGTCAATTAAGAACATTTAGAGTATAATAAAATAGGATTAATATCTCCGATAAATAGCATATTATTTCCATCAGTCCTCTTCTTGTTAATCACTTTTTAGCAGTTACCTATATTTTAGGAAAGAACAATATAGAGACCTGACAATTTTATTCTCAGTTAGGGCTATTACTATAATTTCATATTCCTTAAATTAACTTTAAAATAGTTCTCTTTTATTTGTTGGAACTGATAAAATAATAATTTCCAATATTTAATATTTTATATCGAATACTTCATAGGAATATGAGTAATCATACATATAACGTGGCTAGGTATATTATAAAGCACCTTGAGCTGGGCGTGGTAACTCACGCCTGTAACACCAGCGCTTTGGCAGGCTGAGGAAGGTGCATCACTTCAGGTCAGGAATTCAAGTGGCCAACTTGGTGGAACCCCGTCTCTACTAAAAATACAAAAAAAAAAAAAAAAAAAAAAAAAATTAGCGGGGTATGGTGGCACATGCCTATAGTCCCAGCTACTCGGGAGGCAGGAAAATCGCTTAAACCCAGGAAGTGGAGGTCGCAGTGAGCCAAGATCTCGTCACTGTACTCCTTTCTTGGTGACAGAGAGATACTCCACATCAAAACAAAAAACAAAAAAAACAACAACAAAAACCCCAAAACCATAAAACCTTGAAGTGCAGCATATTTTCTATTCTGCTTGTGTTTGAGTTGCCACTACTAAATTTAATTTTTATTTTCAGACATTCACTGAAGGCAAGTGCTGTTAAGCAAATTGAGTGGCAGAAGAAATGTGGATACCTTCCAGTTATTTGAATGCCTGGTGATTATCTATTGTGTATTTGAGAAGTAGCTACCTTTCTATTTTTTTACGTCAACATTTAGCCATTTGTAAAGGACAACTAAGACAATTCCTTGTAAAGAATGGAGGCTAAAGTCTTAGAAAACCGAAACCAGTGGTTCTTGAATTTGGAGTGCCTCAGAGTCACTGCGAGGGCTTGTTAAAGCAGGTTGCTGGGACCCACCCTCTGGAGTTGGTGACTCAGTAAGTCTGGCGAGCCTGGGCCTCTAAAATCTACATTTCTAGTGAGTTCCGGGTGATATGATGCTGCTGATCCAGGGAGTTAGGTTTCTGGGCATAATCAACATGGTTGTTTCTCATCTGTTTGTCTATTTTTTTTTTTCAATGCTGCCACATCTATGAGTCTCTCTCTCTTGATTTTTGTCCTCTGAATTTTGTGCTATACAATTTTTTCAGTGTGTCTCATTTTTACATTCTTATTTCTTGGAGTTTCTTAAGTAAATTATCTGACACTGGGTTATATAAATAAATATTCCCCTGTTTTTATTGCTATCTTCAAGTAGCTCTCGGACTTCGTGTTCTGGGTCTCCTAACTCCCTCACATTACTTCGGACTTCGTGTTCTGGGTCTCCTAACTCCTCCTCACATTGCTTCGGACTTCGTGTTCTGGGTCTCCTAACTCCTCCTCACATTGCTTCGGACTTCGTGTTCTGGGTCTCCTAACTCCCTCACATCATTGCTTCGGACTTCGTGTTCTGGGTCTCCTAACTCCCTCACATTGCTTCGCACTTCGTGTTCTGGGTCTCCTAACTCCCCTCCCTCACATTGCTTCTGTTCTTTTCAGCTGATGTGGAAGTTACACCATGATCATCCTATTTCCTAAAGTCAGTACTGGATCACAGGGCCTATGATGGAACGGTGCTTAGGCACCATCAGGACTGTCATTAAAATTCTCGATATGTGTTTTTAGTATCAGTGAACCTCACAGTCTTTAGCTATTTTCCCTAGAAACATTTATAGAAGGTCGACGAGTACATGTAAAATGCTTACTTCAAAGCCAAGAAGACATATTAGTAACATGGTGGTATTAGATATAGTGAACTCCAAGTTTCTCTTCAAGGCTCAGTATGTCAGTATGTTCAGTTCTTTGTCTTTCATCTTGAAGTTAAAATTTCTTGGAGTTTCAGTAAACAACCTTTTCCACCAGTTCTAATCAGTAGTACGCATCCGTTCCCCCAGTCCCCTGTTCCGTCCTGACTCATCCCAGTCACCTGTTCCAGTCACCTGCTCTGGTCACCTGCTTTGACCTAGGACACCCCTGGCTACCTGCTGTGACCTATCCCATAACAGTCCTTCCTGCCAAACTACCCACCTTCCCACTCCGGCTCATACCCCTGCTCCCCTTAAAATAGCCAATTGGAATTAGACTAGACTGTGTGGTCTAACTCTAGACACTAGGGGAATGACACAGCAGTAAGGGCTACCTCTGTCAGGAATAAGAACTCCTTCCCCTCCCTTGCCCAGGTGTGCCATTGTTCCGTCTGTGAGCCGCACCCTTCTATAGAAGTAAATTGCCTTGCTGAAGAAATTTACTTTTGAGTGCTACTTCTTTTGCGGCACTGAAAATTTACATGTAACAGTAGATTAATTAATTTCTACCTCACTTCCAATATTTCCTCTATTCCCTTATCATAAAATTTTCACTAAATATTAAATTTTAAAAACTGAATATTTTCTTAATTGGTTAATTCCTTTGCAATGGCGTTTACTTATTTATCTATTTTTAAAATATTTTCTTGAGACAGAGTCTTACTCTGTTTCCCAGGCTGGAGTGCAGTGTCATGATCTTAGCTCACTGCAACCTCTGCCTTCCAGATTCAAGCAATTCTTGTGCCTCAGCCTCCTGAGTAGCTGGAATTACAGGCACATGCCACCATGCCCAGCTAATTTTTTGTATTTTCAGTAGAGACAGGGTTTCACCATATTGGCCAGGCTGGTCCAGAACTCCTAGCCTCATGTGATCCGCTCACCATGGCCTCCAAAAGTGCTGGGATTACAGTTATAAGCCACCATGCCTGGACTGCAATGGTGTTTATTTAGTGTTATGGGAATTGATTAAAAATTGCTGACAGTTTTCATAATATAAGCAAAAATAACTTTCCATTTTAATTGGCTTAATAAACAATTTTGGCATAAGAGCTCTTCAAGAGATTATTCTGAAATTACCTTTTGAATACAATTTTACACAAAGGAAAGTGTCAGAAAGAGTTATGTGGGTTTATATAATAAAAATAAATTGTGTAGCAAAATGATTAAGCTTAAAATTAGAAGGAGAATTAGTTGATAATTCAACAGATTTCCCTAAGCATCAAGTTGTAGCATTTAAATTAAGATCAATAATATGGTAGCTAATGCCAAGAAAAAAGTAACAATTTTGGGTCCTATTCTAGGATTATATGACAAGATTTATCTGTCACGTAAATTATATTGCAGCTTTCTAGAAATTCTTTTAATGTTAAATTTAGAACTGTAATTAATCTTCTGATAGCTGTATTCATAGACAACAAAAAATAGGAAAACAAATGCAACCAATCACATTGGGTTTTATTTTTATTTGTCTTCCATTTTGTTGCTATTTATAATGAGAAATGTAATAAACCATCTACCTTCATTAATTCAGACATGGCCTCTGACCAGATTTTTTATGTTCCTTTATATCTTAAGTTCCTACTGTGCATCCACGTGGTGCTAGGGACCACCTCTGGGCTACTGGACATACAGTATGCTACACATGTCCCTTGTACCCTTAGAGCATAGACTGCAT